GTTAGAAAAGGACTACTTAAACCTAAGGTAATAAAATCATAAGAAAGGTCATGAAATCATAAAAGTCGAAAATGAACGACTGTCAATGAAACAGAGGAATAGAAGAAGAAGAAAAGAAAAGAAAATTGTGAAAGGAATTTATAGTGTTAATGGAGGATTTGTTGGCTTTATTGCAGGCCAAGGTAAACATAGTGGTTGAACATACTTGTTCTGTATGCAAAGAGATGGTCTTCTGGTATTAATTGCAACCGCTTCAGCTACTGATAGAAGACGCAGTTGAGCTCCTCTAGATAAATTTCTAGGAACTTATTTCTAGGTAAATAACTGAGAACGCCTGGTCAAGTTTTATCGGGTGTCCCGTATCTACCAAGTTGTCTAAGACTGCACTATTTACACATTTGGTTACTCCGTTACTCAACCATATAGGTAGATGTTCACGCTCGCGCATGGATGAAGCCCTCTGAGTACGGCCAATGTAATCAGCTCCATATGAGCAGTTGAATTCATAGATGCACATTGATGAGGCCATCTTTGGTAATTTATCCTTTACTTGCTGTGTGAGTACTGGTTTAGTTGAGAAGTTGAGTACCAGTTTAGCTGCAGGAAATGTTCTATCTACTGCTCTATTAAGTCGACATTTTAGAATGTCAGCTGCAATTTCCTCTTTGTAACTTAACTTAAGATACAAAGGTTTCTTTTCTACGTTATCCAACTTTACCTTGTCTGTAGGTATTGACATATACCTTTTTAAGAAGCTCTGTGGATATCCATTTTCTTGCAGTGTGAGTTTCAGTTTATGCATTTCTTCCTTAATGCATTCCTCTGAACATATACGTTTTATTCTATAGCTTAGACACTTAACTAAGTTTCTTTTGTACTGAATCAGTGCGAAGCTATGGAAATGGGTGTACTGACTCGTCGAAGTTTTCTTTCTGAATAATTTCCTTTGTAGATATCCGTCTGTCTTCATGGTAAGGAGGACGTCTAGGAAAGGTAAACTGTTATTGTTTTCTTCTTCACATGTAAACTGAATAGTTGGGTGAACACTATTAACAGCATTTAGAAGCTCTTGTTTAATAAGACTTATATAACAAACGATAAAGGTATCATCTACATATCGACAATAATATTTAAACCCTTTAACCGTATCTTTATTATTTATTATTATTATTGTATCGTTTAATTCCTAGAGGAACATAGGGCTTCAGCGTGCGTCTCCATTGCGTTCGGTCCTCTGCTAGAGTCTTCACCTGACCCCAAGTCTACCCACACGTTTTCATCCCCTCTTCACATGACCTCCTCCAAGTCACCCTTGCACTGACTAACGACTCGCCGCTTCCCCTTCGGGTTCCACTCGAGCAATGGCTTGTCTGGTGATGGTTTCCTCAGAGTATGGCCAATCCATCTCCATTTTTTCCTGCCTATTTATTTCACAACTGGTTCCTGGTTGGTTTGCTCCCAGAGATCCCTATTGCTGATCTTTTCAGGCCATCTGATCTTTAGATAAATTATTTCTGGTTAAACCTGACTGATTCCAAGTATTTTTAAATGAAACCATAAAAACCAACTTTGGAGTATATTTTTCGTATGCATTTATATACTATTTATGACGGTTGCGCTTATAAGTAGTTTAATGAATTCTATGCAACAACAAAAAACTAGCGATATATCACTTGAAAATATAGTAATGCATGCAAAAGTCAGCAAAATTTTGACACCCACATAGTAAAATCACCTATTTTATCCCATCCTGAGTCCATTTTATGTAACATTGTCAAATTGTAATTTTGATTTAAGGTATACGAAAAATAGACAGGTAGAGACTGAGTTGCTGGCTAAAGTCACTGAGAGGGCCTCCATCGTGTTTACATGATGATCAGTTCATTACTACAATGACTGGGTGGAATGCCAATCAAGACATTTCAGAGGCATAATATTTGAACACGGGACAGTCGGCTACAAATATTGGCTGACGTCCCAAAATCTACAAAACAGTCAGCCATCAGTTATATTATTATCTGTAATGTCAAGGTGGTCGTATACCGGAGGTTACATCTAGTGCAGTATATTTTCCTACAGACAGATATCACAATTTGATGGGCGAGTAGAGATGTTCCCCTCTCAGAGAGTTCACATAGATGAATGAGAAGACTGTGAGGAACAGTTCAACTAGTCTGAACTCCTGAAATATTGTGAAACTCGTGTACAACCACAAATAACAGGGTATGTCGTGAAGTCTGTTGAAACATTTCCAAGAGATATTCAGTGATCTTAAGTCGAACTGATTGAATATTTAGCTGAGAGATTCTATCCAAGTGGTTTGAATCAGTGACAGCTTCAGTTTTGACGATTGGTTGTAGGTCGTCTTTAACTAGTGCAGTTCCTACACTGTTCTTCGCTATTTAGGCATCGAGATCAGGTATCGATAAAAGTTTGCAACTGGCTGTTTGAAATGTTTTTCTGATCCACACAGAAGAACTGACTAGCTGACTCAACACCGGTGTTGAAAAATTGGAATTTTGTTCCTTATGCTGAGTGAGTGAAGTAGATTTTCACACTGTTTTCAAAATAACGAAGGTCTTCCTTTTTGCTCTTACCGATCCCGACTGCCTATGACACCCTTCTCTATGTCGTCTCCTCAAGTTGAAATGATTCTGCGATGAGGTAAGCGAAACAAGTGAATTTCTTCGAATTTCCATCATTGATAGTGATTCTTGCTGCTTGTTGTTGTTGCTGGTCATTGGATGTATTCATCACCTCTGTCTTCTCTACGTCCAATTGAAATCCTCCTTTCAATAATTGGCAACCCATTAATTTTCGCCTTTATTTTTTATTTATTTTGATTTACAGCTTGATTCCACACCGTATTTTCAGAACAAGTGTGGAATTTTCAGCATGGATATCGGTAGCCCAAATTCAGGCTGACCATAGATATTGGGTGTGCGCCGGCAGGGGATCGAACCTCGGACCATGTGCATGGTCGGCGAGAGTCCTAACCACTGTGCCACCGACGCACTAGCGAACCACTGAGCTCTAGAATCCAGAGTTATCACACACCAGTATGAAATCATCCAATTCGCCTGTGATACTGGTCGGCTTCAACGCTATACATATTGCACATTTGTTGAGGTGAGAATCCATCTGATACAATGGATTGCGTTCGTCCCAGTGGGTGAATGATCAATGAGCTCGTCTCCTAGTCTGAAGGTTCTAGACAGAATTTTACAGTGTGTCCATGGATGTGTAGTAGGGAGAAACATGTGTCAAGTACTCCCTGATGCTATTTGTTTTTGATGGTTCTCTGACTGATATCAATCCATGATAAACCCTCTATCCAATCTAATCCCTGCCATGCAACGCATTTAAATGTGGCTAGAATAGCTATCTGGATAAAACGTGTCGAAATTTTTGACAGAGAGATTTCCGCGTGGATTTTCGCTGACTGAATCTTTGTGGACTTATACCTTAGCACTACTATATGAGTATGTTAGCAGAATGGAGAATGGAATTTCCTGTCAGTAAATTTCATGTGTCATATTGAAGTCAATGCTCCGATGTGCCTCACTGAATAGTTGAATTACGTGGCAGTGTCAAGGTTTTGCTGTACGCTGGTGAGCACCAAATTGGTTATGCGCTCGCGTCGTAACCGGAATATCCTGAGTTCGAACCCGTATATGCGCATGCTGCTGAGAATTCTCCAACCAGACTGACTTGAAAGATGTCCAGCTCTCACTGTTTACACGATTATTGTGAAAGTTATTATTTCTTTAATGTATTCTGACTGAAAATGGGAGCCTTACTGTCGTGTCTCCATGCTACTTATTTATGTGTCATCACTCTATCGTCTAGATTCACGTTCGCTCGGAAGATTTGATTTCCATAACCTCACACCATCTTTTGTACTTTGCTGTCTAACCCTCAACTATTCCGTCGCTTATTTGGCAATGTTTTCTACTTGACAGCTTGCTGACTAGTGTACGGTGTGCTTATTGCTATTATTATTGTGCCCTTTTGAATATAGGGCTTTAATTGGAGCACATCTTCACTTCGTCTTATTCTCTGAGGAACTCTTCAATTGGCTGCATGACTTCTAATAGTTTCTCATATCTTCCAACTCAAACGATCTCCACCATATCACACTCAGATAGTCGCCCAAACTTCGTTTATTTTCTATTCGGGTTCCACTCGATGTCCCAGCGCCTGATGACACTAAACCATCTCCTCATCAGCTTCCAATGACATTAGGTTGCAGTAGTCCTAAAATATAGCAACTTGAGAGAAGCTGAACTCCTTCCTAGTGGATGACTGGTCAACCGGCTTGCAATTTAAATTTTCCGGATGTTTCGATTACTTGCGGTGACGTCATGGCAAAGTTGTTCTCAACAGTTCCAAGCTGGGAAGATGAAATATGTGCCCCGGTTGTTTTATAAACTTCTATAACCGATGTGTCAGTTCGTGATCAAACTTGAAAGTAATCAAATCAGCGAACTGCTGATCCACGATTAACTCAACACAGACTAAGAGGTAGTTTATACCATAAATATGTTACTGACATAGAATATATCGGTGAAATGCCCGGAATATATTGATTCCGTAGCCGTGTTTTTGTGCTGCTGAAAGATCTCGAACCAGACTACAGACAATATTCCTAATCGTCTAGATTTCTATTATATTTTCATAATTAATATTTTCCCCGAATTAGGAGCTGGTTGAGAACAAATACTCCCCGATTTAGGTGTAAAAATCGCTTATTGACGAAAGTTAGAACTGATGGAATGGCTTTTGGGTTACGTCCCTTTGACTGAGTGGCCATTGGGTCTCACCTCGGAACCTGAATATCCCTGATCTTATCCCTGAACATTGGAAGAACCTCCCAAATCTAAGATGACAAAACGGATGTTCACAACCAATGGTAGATAATCTGACATTGATCAAAATACATATACACAACCACATTCACATAAGCGCATACACACACAAAGATTAAATGTTGCACTTACGATTGCACATCACTGTATCCGCACAATAAACATCTTTCGTCATGCTGATTACCAGCACAGTCAAAATAAAAGTAGTAATAATATTCATGTTGTTTATTATCATCATTCCAATAAATGCGTGTTAATCAGATCCTATGCTAATAATATCTCAAAATATAGACAAGAAGATCATCTGCATTTTATAACGGTTACGAGATCCTTCTTTCGTCGTTTCCTTTATTTCAGCCAATCCGATTTCAAGGACTGACAAGATCGATAAAGGCTATTATTATTATTATTATTATTTTGATTAGTCAAAAAATTCATATAAAACAAATCACAATTCTCGTTGTGAAAGTTTCGATTTCTAAATATAATTGTGATCTCAAAGTGCAGATCATACATGACTTATTCACTGTAGAGCTTTTTTTTCTTTGTTTGTTTTTTTCAAAAACAGACGAATCATAATTGATATGCATGTTGTATGCGAAAACCTTAATTAATAAAAATAGAAGTATACTCCTTGTGTGGGTAAGTGCTTTGTTGAGTATGCATTATCACACAAAACCAATCGATACGGTTTACGAGTTTTATTAAATTCCTAAGGAATATGAAAGTTGTACAGCATAAAAAATACCTGTGAAATAAGGGAAAGAAGACGCATAAACATAAGCACACACACATACAAACATGCAAACACACATTGTTATATTGAAATAATAGAGATCACCATTTATGGGGGTATTAAGCAGATCACCTGTTGTGTGCATTTGTGTACAGTATATAAAAATAGTAATTTTGGCTACCAAATTTAGTTCTATTTTAAGATTATACTGAATCAATAGTATCTATAGACGATGACAGTTCACCAAAGCATCAATAAGAGATGATGTACACTAATATATCACTAAAATGATTGGATATGAGACAAATTAGTAGAAGTTATGCAGAATTTATGAATTTATAGACTCAACAGCAGGCCAGGGTACTTATAGTGGAGGGCTGAACCTGTTTTTCTTTTACACGCAGAATTCTGGTTGCTTTAAGCGGATGACAATGACCTCTTCTGTTTGCATTGAGTATTCAGTACTTAGACGCTTTTGGTAACTTATTTGGGTAATAGGCTCTGTGGGCTAAAGGACCCGGTGAACCCAATTAAACAAAATGATATAATTTACAGAATACATTACAATGACTATGAGTTAGACCAACTACATAGATCAAACTAGTAGATCGGGGGTAGTCAGATTGTCGGAATGTAAGAATTTATCTAAATGCAGAATGATTTACCCCAAGAAGATGAGTAATTTAGAAGAAAACTCATCAATCGCACTGCATGTATCAACACACAACAGGGTGGGAGAGGGTTAAAATTCTAAAAGGTAATGTAGGTAGGTGGAGAGAGAAAGGTTGATCGACTCTTCACCCAACATAACACATGCAACAGCAATGACTCAACGGAAATGCCAGAGATATGGAAGATATTATTACCAGTCAAATAAGAGAATAATAAATAATGTTCAAATGTATTCAATTCACATTATACCATTCGAACAAGTTATTTATTTATTTATTTTACTATAAGAACATCTTATACCCCATCTTATTTTACTTTACTGATAACAGTAATATGACTTCCTAATGTACTTTATCTTATATTGATTTTACTCATATTTCTAATCAATTTTTACTCATGTATATAAATAAAGCTAAGAGCTGTATGAGTGACTTGATATGATTATGAGCAACAATTTGTGCTCGAGACTTCATCAGTTAATATTACTATGCAACACAGTGTGATTTATCGAAACAAAATCTTATCCATAACAGGAATACACGTTGCGTGTCTCTTGACAACAGACAGTTAGTTCGTATGTTCTTAAATTCAGGGTCGAAAGGAACGCCTACTGTGACCACCAAAAGCTCCTATACAGTTTTGTAGATAGTGTTGATTCTGTCTTTTCATTGCTGTTTTGTGGATCTTCTGGTGTGCAGTAAGTATTCATTGAGGTCTGCGTGTACGATGTCTATCGCAAATGATGCTTTAGCATTCTAGGCGTTATTTTAGAAATATTCTTGATATATTTGTACGATAAAATGAGTTTTCTTTTTGTCTCTGATGAAGATCTTTTGAGTTTGACTTGAGTTTAGACAACGATTTTTCAGAAAATTGAAACGGTATCCATCTTTTTCTTGAAGACAGTTAATAAAAATATTCCCCTGCTATTTTCCTCAAGAGCAGATGTGGGCTCAAAGCGTTACATAGCGAGAAAAACCTTCAGGGCAGCCAGCTTGGAAACCTTCAAAGAAGCTGGAGACAGACCACAAACCAAATCCAACATTTAAAAACTGAAAGGATACACTCACTGCAGTTATCAGAGCAAAGTCACAGACATTATTTAGCATCACCGATGGAATCTGAGTTTGGAGGAATACTGGCACTCTTTCTTTCTGTGTTATCCTCTTACTAACATTTTCAATGCTTTTTTCTCTAGCCCTGTTAAAAGTGACGCTTAGGAGGATATTAAAATTATCCTAATACCCAAATCATGTGCTCGTATAAATGTTAAATTCGAACTAGTCACTGTCACTTCTCTTTTCCTGAAATGGAAAAATTTCCTTAACTCAACCTTGAACCTTCTTTGAAAAGTTTCAGTGATCCTAAGCAGTTCGCATAAAAACAGAGTAGATGTATGTTAGGTGCTGTTTCTGTCCCACATCCTGCCTAGACGAGGCAGCTAAATATCCTTGGTGTTCTTTCCTCGACCATACATCAGCTTTTTACTCTGTTCACAGATGTTTTGTGTTAAATAAGCTTTCCGTGACACCAACTGAGCCCTGGACTGTAAACTGGTTGCACTTTTATTCCTCAAACAGAAAGCAGTGTACTGTATATAAAGGTAAATCTTGATCTTCCCTTCATACTGCAGCAGGTGTCCCTCAGGTTGCTGTTCTCTTTCCTCCCCTTTTTTCCTTCTTTCTGCATGAATCGCCTTGTTTGGAAGAAATTAACTTTGTTAAATACGCTGACGACCTTACTGTCTCACTGCCAATTACTTCCGCAGCTGACTGTTCCAAACCGAATATTCATCTGTCCACTATCAGCCAGTGATCTTACGTTGTATCCCTCCAAATGTTCACACGATGCTTTCAGATTAGACGGCACTGATAGAATAAGTCAAGCGTAAAATACCTTGAAACAGTTCTATCCACTCACCTTTCTTGGTCGGTCACCTCATATCCTTTTCATTCCTAAGAAAATGCTCCATCTAACCTACTACATTTAGAAGTTGAAACAATCTGGAATTACTCAACTGTTTCTTTTAGAGTCTGTTAATTCTTGCATCTGACCTATTATTCTTTATCCCTCCCCCACCTTTATTCTTTCCTGGGTTAACGAAAAATGACTGTAAGATGATATTGAGAAGGGTATTGAGAGTTGTCAGTTGGGTAAGTTGTAAGCCACTCAGTCTGTTCTTTACTGTCTTAACCGACAGACACCTGAACAACTCATATGATGAATGGTCTAAATCAATTTTTCCTGACTGTCAACACTCCTTCTACTCACAGCTCTACCTCCCCATTGTTGCATCTCATCTGGTAGGACTGGAAGTCATTATATGCTTGTTCCCACTACCAAGTATAAAAACTAAACGATACCTAATTTGGCACGTCCACCCACTTGCTTTCTATGTAATGAAGGTAGTGTTTAAACGTGTAACTTAAGACTTACTGTGTAATTACCATTTGGTAAAAATCGGCTCATTAATTCTTCAAAATTTGTCATTTTATGGTGACACTCACTATCTCCAGTACCTTATAATTTTATGTTAATAATACCTATATTATTTTAATTGTAGTATTATGTTTCTTATGGCTTCTGAGGTTAGTTTGACTCAATCAGATGTTTCAAGACTGTGCTGCTCAAGGGTATACCACCTTCCTCTTAATCACGGATTTTTCAGTATGTGTTCATAAAAGTCTAAATTGGTCCTCTTTCCTGTTCTTCCAGCGCATCTGCTTCGGTGGCTAGACGTAGAACCAATGTACATAGTTGGAGCTAACAAACTAAGGTAACGAACATGCCATTTGGTACACAGGAATCAGCTCAGCTTCAGGAAATGATATTCTACTAGCGACCTTATAAGTCGTATGTTCGTTATCTCCGTGTATGAATATAGGCATTTTTCCACACTACACAGTGTAGAAAACGGGAGTAACACGATAATGCATACCATCACAAATTATATTCCTGATCATGACGTCGTAGCGGATCATGCAATGAACCATGCATGGGGAACGAGAAGACAAAAACTCTAGATGATCTGGACTTCTGGTTTATGATTACTGTCTAACTCGAAGATCCACAGGTAGAAACCAACACACAACATTAAGTAAAGTAAGTAATTAACCTCTCTGCAAGAGCCTTAAGTTCTGATGAAGGAAAAGTATTTGGAAAGGGATTCAACTTCAATGCAGCTGTTAACAGATTAAAACCTAGAGACATCATTCCTAGTACAGCAGTAGCACTTAGTGAAACAGATAAAACCATTGCCGAACGAGTCAGAGCAGAATGTGCCTTGACATTAAAATATCAGAAGAAGGGAAGGAGCAACTTATCACAAAAAGAAATAGCAACTCTAAAAAGCTTGAGAAACGGCAAAAACACTATTATATTATTATTATTTCCTTCAATTCCTAGAGGAACATACAGCTTCAGCCGTCCGTCTCCATTGCGTTCGGTTCTCTGCTAGAATCTTCACCTGGCTCCAAGTCTGCCCACATGCTTTCATCTCCTATTCACATGACCTCCTCCAAGTCACCCTTGCACTGAATACCGACTCGCCGCTTCCCGTTAGGGTTCCACTTGAGCAGTGGCTTGTCTGGTGATGTCACTTGATGGTTTCCTCAGAGTATGGCCAGCCAATCCATCTCCATTTCTTCCTGCCTATTTGTTGCACAATCGGTTCCCAGTTTGGTTCGCTCTTTGTCAGAGATCTCTGTTGCTGACTTTTTCTGGCCGTCTGATCTTGAGTATTGAGCGAAGACAGGTGTTGATGAAGGTCTGTAGTTTGTTTGAGATGCTCTTTATGACGCGCACTGCAAGTCTCTGATCCGTAGAGTTGAAAATCCTGATCTTATTTTTGATGCTGAGT